GCCTAATCATAGAGTATTATAATATAGGCCTAAACACACAGTATTATAATATAGGCCTAATCACAGAGTATTATAATATAGGCCTAATCATAGAGTATTATAATATAGGCCTAAACACACAGTATTATAATATAGGCCTAATCATACAATGTTATGATATAGGCCTAAAAGTTCGTTATAAAAATCACCTTCTCTACAAGTGTCCTTTCATCAACATTCCTCTTAATTTGTTCCTTTCGGATTCAAAATCAAAGGAATATAAAAGTAGTTTCAAATCTACATGTGAAGTTGATTTGTACTTATTTACATATAAATGCATTTATCCTTGTAAAATAATTCATACTTTTTACTTTGGTAACAAATATTAACATTACAGAGATCCATTTATTTCTTTCAACACGCACTTAAAAAGAAATTGGGTTGTAAATCAACACAAACATTATGTTAACAATATAAACTGTGTTCCCCTAACACAAACTTTAAAACAATTGTCTACTGTAACGATGTGACAACACAAATGACGTGTGATTTTCAGTTTAAATTGCGTTTATTTAAAAAAACATATCATGTTTCAACCAACACAGTCGTGTTCTGTTTTTTCAGTCCACAACGTGAGTTATAACCAATTAAACACAGTTCTTGTGTTGTTCTACTGAACACAAATTGTGTTGTTTTAACACAACTATTTTACGGTGTAGACACAAAACTTTAATGAAAAGTCAAAACTTTAAAGCTGCTATCCGCCATCAATAATTCACAGGAAAAACAAAATAAAATGATGGAAACAGTAATGGGTTTTTCAGGTTCATAAAGGCGATATTGATTCAGACCGTGGCTCTCTGAGAGATAGTAATAATTTTTTTGTGTTATTTTAGATACAATAAAAACATACAGAAACCCTTAGCGTGATGGAATTTCTAACAGAGTTATTTTCCCTCACTAACGGGTTTTATATAAGACTAGGGGTGTAGACACCACTGTAGAATGAGGAAGGGATCTTTTTCGAAAACTTTGAAGGCCGTTTATTCTACAAAATAAATTTGAATGAATTACTATTTACATTAATTCAAATGTTTATTTTAAAAAAAATCAGAAGTTAATGAAACTTGTAGACTTTTTAGAATATTGTAGTGTTCGTTCGACCCCACCCCTCAGTCAACAGCATTGGCTACGTTCCTGAGGGTTACACCAGACTGTGTTTCTATTGTTTTATTATAAAGATTTATATATTAACAGGGTACTAAGCATAATAGATATTCTATTAGAGAATTAGTAATCTTTTTTGTTCGCTGATATGAGATAAAACCTAACGGCTGTAATATTACTAAAACTGTCTTGTTTTACAATCACAATATACTTCTCGTCATTAAAAACAAATGTTCTGATTTGCTGAATACAATTTTTCAACTATTTTCGACCGTTAAATATTAATTCCTGTATCACACAATCTCTGAGAATAAGCAGAAAATATTATTGCCAGGAAACAGCACGAGAAAGTAACACGTGAGAAGCACGTGTTGTAACAGCTGTTACTGAACGTTACTGCTCCTTGATAGGGATATTACCAATAAGTTTTTCTGACTCAGCATATTACTTGCGTAATTAATGTCGGTTGGATGAAGCAGAGAATGTAGTTTTAATCAATACAGATTAATTTCGTGGCTAATTTAAATAGAACAGAAGTTTTTCTCATCCAGTTTTGTGTTCTTAGCTGGATTGCTTTGAAGTGTGTTTGTACATCACTCTAATTACATTATAAAATTTTAATTTTTCTCAGGAATTGTGACGTTGGCAGTTTCTTCAGTTAAACAATTCAGGCATCAATTAACATGTTAAACTTTATATATTTCATTCTCGAGTGTAACTAGAAGTGAAAAATTCGTGTAGCTGTTGATAAATAAGTTTACTTCCGTTATGAACATTCACTGTTGTGTTGACTAGATTTCAATAAAAGTGGATATGTGTTAAAATGTTAGGGTTAAACTCGAGGTTTCTTGATAACTCTGTATAAATCAGACACAGAGTGTCCCTTTCTACTCAGTCCGTATCTCTGTCGTAAATAATGGTAATATTCTTTACGAATTCGAACAGAAAATGGATTCGGGGTTGAACTGTTTTGGACAATTACAGCTTTGTTCATTATACGTTTGTCCCAAGTTCTGATAATGTTAATTACCAATATATATATAGATAGTTTTAACCAAGTTCTGATGATGTTAATTACCAATATATATATAGATAGTTTTAACCAAGTTCTGATAATGTTATTACCAATATATATATAGATAGTTTAACCAAGTTCTGATAATAGTTTTACCAATATATATATATATAGATAGTTTTAACCAAGTTCTGATGATGTTAATTACCAATATATATATATATAGATCGTTTTAACCAAGTCCTGATAATCTTAATTACCAATATATATATAGATAGTTTTAACCAAGTTCTGATAATGTTATTACCAATATATATATATATAGATAGTTTTAACCATGTTTTGATGATGTTAATTACCAATATATAGACAGATAGTTTTAACCAAGTTCTGATAATTTTAATTACCAATATATATATATAGATAGTTTTAACCAAGTTCTGTTAATGTTAATTACCAATATATATATATAGATAGTTTTAACCAAGTTCTGTTAATGTTAATTACCAATATATATATATAGATAGTTTTAACCAAGTTCTGATAATGTTAATTACCAATATATATATATAGATAGTTTTAACCAAGTTCTGATAATGTTAATTACCAATAT